AGAACGATAAGAAATTGAAAAGAACAAGATAAACTTATGTCTGCAGTACGTCCTAATTATTATTTTCCTTATAAAGAAGGGGCGACCATATTTGAAAGATGTTAATTAAATGAATATTTGAAAAATAATAATCACATAGTTTTAAACAACACTAGCATAATTAGGTCTTTCAGAAAACCAATTCCTTTTACATTTTTAGAATACATTGCAATTCCCATGGAGTCTACGGTCTAGTCCTTTCTTCTAGTACCAGCCACTTAAGAATGGACAAACAACAAGACTACATAAAATAAGGCTCCTAATTTCGGATGCTCGAAAATCTCAACCATGTTAGGTATCCGAAATTAGGCAACCCAGTACTAATCTTAACTTGGTAGCATAAGGAAGAACTAGAGCTTTTGGAAGCAATGTGAACACAAGATATACATGTTATAATGTATGTATATAATTATGTTATTATAAACAACGTTCAAGTTAAAACTCAGACATGGTTTGGAGTCCATTGTCCTGTAAGCTAAAGTATTGCGTTAGAATTGACAGATACCTATACACTGACGATAAAAAATATACTGATGCTTCAGCTTCCAGATTATCACTGCTAAGAAACTGGTCGGGTAGAAGGCCTTAGGCCCAGTGACTGACACAGCAGTGCGGCCCTTAAAGTAAAAAGTAAAATTAAAAAAAAAAGTAAAGCTCTCCCTATAACAGCCATGAAGGCCCATAGGGTTGTGAGACGTTGAGGGTCCCACATTATCTAGACAATCGGCTAAAAAGATGGCGGTAAGGTTGTCAGCCTTACGCACCGGCCGGGCTTTACTCCGCAGGAAAATTATTTAATTAATTCTTGGTACTCATTTCTGTTAGAGGCTGAGTTGACCCTAGGGCCATAGTGCGGCTGGAAGGATTAGGTCAATCGAAAAAAAACAATGACCTCATCGGGACTTGAATCAGCAACCTTCCGGCTTGTAGCATAGTGCCTCAACCACTATGCTACAGCCCTTACTTACTGAAAAACCACGCTATTCTAAATTAGGCGTCTGTCTGAAATATGACACCTTTGTCCTACTGCCTTTACTATCAGTGCTGAACACGATCAAAACTCGCGGAAGACAAGAACCAGTAGTCGTATGCAGTTAAGTGGAACTACAAATGAGGATTCAGTGTATTATAGATATACTGACTGCANGGTGTTAACACCACATATACACGGTGCCAAATCCCAGAAGACTGCTTTCTTCATAGTCACCGCCGTGAAAGCCTCAAATCTTACAAGTTTGTATCAAGTTTGCTCGTTTATCTCCCCACCCAATTTTTGAAACGTACGTAACGACATAAAGATAATTGACTCTTCTTCCTTCTACATTTGCCTGTACATGACTTTTGTACTAAGAGGAAATCCTGTCATTAACGTCTGTTTTGAACCATTCCATGAAGACTGGAAGGATCCTGTTGTTGTACCAACTTCAAAGAAGAGCTGCAACACTGATGCAGTAATTATCGAGGAATATCACTCTTAANTGGACCTGTCGTCTTGACAGATTACTGATGATGATGATGATCACTGTTATCAACTTATTACTAAATTTTATTCAATGTCCTTCCTTACAGGTTAAGTCCATATATAGACGAAGTTATTGTGGGTTATCTGTGTGGGTTCCGACTTAAGAGATCGACGACTGATCAGATAATTTTACTGGTCAGTTACTGGACAAAATATGGGAGTGCAATGAGAAATGCATATTAGCTATTCATAGACTTGAAGCAAACCTATGATTCAGTTAGGAAGGAAGTATTGTACAGGATTCTCAATGAGTGTATGATAACATGAAATTAGTTAGGCTTAATGAAATGTGTATAAATAAAACATATAGTAAAGCCCATAGAGGCCGGTCACGGTAGCCGAGCGGTCTAAGGCATGTACTATCTTCGCTCGCTTGGAAACCTGGATCGTGGGTTCGAATCCCACTCAGGGCATGGATGTTTAGTTTGTTTGTGTGCGTTTTTCTGTGTTTGTGTACAGGTAGAGGCCTTGCGACGAGCTGATCACCCGCCCAAAGAGTCCTACCGAATGTGTATGATCTACAAAAACCGAAGTGAACTGGGGCTGTATTGCCAAGGAAAAAAAAGCCCATAGATGTAAACGTTTCTCCGATAAAAGGGAGATGTTTTATCTCCTTTGCTTTTCAACTTTGCTTTAGGATATCCTATTAGGAAGGTCAATGGAAACCAGGATGGAACTGAAATTAAATGAGATAATCATATTCTGGTTTATGCTGATGATGCAAATATTTTTGGAGACAACATAAATGCCACGAAGAAAGCACACATGCTCCAACTGATGCCAGTAATGAGGCTGGACTAAAAGTAGACACAGAGAAAACTAAGTATATTTGATGTCTTATGACTAGAATGCAGGAAAACGCCACAACATGAAAATAGGCAATACCGAAAATGTGGCGAAGTTCAAATATTTGTGAGAGACAGCAAGTGATCAGAATTCGATGCACGAGGAAATAAAGGGCACATTCAATTCCGATAATGCTTGCTACCATTCAGTTTAGAAAATTTCTTTGCTCGTCTGCTGTATAAATTAAAAACCCACTACACTGAACTATATTTTTTTCTGTAGTTCTCGTGGGTGTGAAGTTTGGCCTTTGCCCTTAAGAGAAGAACATAAACCGAGGGTGCTTGGGAAAAGAGTGATGAGGATATATAGGATCCGAAGATAGATGGAGCGATAGAAGGTTAAAGATAGGAAGGTAGGGTGGTATTTTTATTCATCTGGCTCTTGATAGGTCTAGTGGCGGGGTCTTGTGAACACAACAATGACATTTCGGATTCCACGAAATGTTAGCAAATGCTTGAGCAGCTGAGCGACTGATGGCTTCTCAAGGAGGACTCAGCTTCATGGAGTTAGTAAGATCTGAATATAAATCGAACACACGTTATACTGGTTCAACCGACCCCATTGTTATATTCATAAGAGAAATGAGGTACGATGGAAGGTGGAAGACTAAGGCGCAGGATGATGTTCAGTTAAGGGTTTTTGTATTAGCAGTGTTAGCCTTCCGGTTCTGATGCTAGAGAAATATTGATAACAATAAATATAAAGAAAAATATATTATATGCATATGGATATAGACGGGGACACGAGCGAAAGGGCCCCTCTCTTTTGTGAAACCGGGCTTAATACTGTAATGCACGTTTGCTTTGTTAGAGACGTGTTCGTCTATGTTAATAGTGACTGCGTCGAACTTACGATATCTCCTACTGCACCCATACTTTTGCTACTGGCTACAGAAGTAAGAGAAAGACGGACACAGTTTGACGTCCGAGATAATGATAGTAACAGGAATAATTCCAAGAATCGAACATAGCAGACTGGAGTTTCTGAAATCAGCGGCAGCACATGTAGAGAACTACAAAGGGTACGTCAGATCTTCACCGCCAGTTTTATTGGAATGTCTAAGAAGAATGGAGAAGGTATCTTTGTATTTCGTATCTTAGTAGTTAAATCCATAAAGGATGATGATAATGGTAATATTGATGGTGATGATAACAACAGAAGAAGAAATGATTTCCAAATATATCCATGTAACTCTGGACCAATCAGCTGTCTGCACGTGAAACTTCAGAAGGTGCCGCTAGTATGGTCAGAGGATTACTGAACAGTAACAACGCTTTGACGTAGCTACTTATCAAGGAGCAGACAAAAAATTACAGCCAATAAGTATTTCATGCAAAAACGACAACAATAATTGCAACGACAATACGATTTGTACCATAACAGAACAAATTAAACATCTCCGGCTCCAATAATTTTGTCTTACAATTGGACATCCTAGAAATAATATTGTACACTTCACATAGAGAAATATTATAACATTCGTAAGTTATTGCAACTATATTAAAAATGTGTTATTAAACAGAAATTGCAGTTTTGTTGAACGTACAAGTTTCAGTGCTAGAATCTTCTTTCTCCATTCACTCTGCTTATAACTGAGTATGAGAAAGTCTACTGTAGCATATGCTACATTCGGTTTAATGTGCGTCTTAACACTTTGAGGACCTTTTTATTTATTGCTAGTGGTGTGGGACTAAGTTCCTTGTACTGCGGCCACTTCTGGCCTATTGTACCAGCCCCAGATAATAGGTGAGGGTGATTGTGGAGCAATTGGTGGAATGAAGATTGGCAGGAGAAACCGAAGTACTCGGAAAAAACCTGCCCCAGCGCTACTTTGTCCACCACAAATCCCACTTGACCAGACCCCGGGATCGAACCGGGGTCGCCGCGGTGGGAAGCCAGCGACTAACTGCTTGAGCTATGATCCGGCCCTTTGAGGACCTTAGTAAGGATTCAGGTATCGTGCCCACATTAATTGCTGTAACCGTACATTTATGTCTCATGTGCAATGAGTGCAAATTATTTAAGGACAGTTAATTTTCTCATTAACGTTTCCCGCCACTTGGTTTCTTGGAAATATCTCGGTCTGGTAACGAACATAACTTTGTTTATCCCTGATCTACTGTGCAAAGCTTTTTGAAAAGCATCAGTGTCTCTCTGTAATACGAAATTATAGCGTGATTAACTTTGCAGCGGTGGGTATCTATCTGCAAAAATAGGTGTTTATTAATGACCTTCGAAGGAAATGAGGTAAGCGCAGATTTGGAAAAAATATAAACAGATGGGAAAAATCTTCGCGAAGCAACCCGAAACGCGTCCATTTATGAAACACACTGCTATTTTCTTTTGAAGCGTAATACTTGTTCATTTAAGTGATAATTGGAAGTTACCTTTTCCTAGTTTAAATTTTTTATTCGTATTAACTGACTTCTTATACCGACTTCAAAAGGTTTCTACGGATTCCGACGAGGACGTGTATATTTTTAGTTTGTTAGCCATTAAAATGTTCACAAATGAGATAATATATAAAATATGCAAAAAGGAAATAACGGATAAAGTGAAGGTTAATGACTCGCTGGTTATTTACCACCGGCAGATGGCACCGCGCATCGTTCCCGTGATCTGCCTGTGACGCTTCTGCCCTTAAAAATGGTCAACTGGCGCAGCTGGTGTAGAGCTTGTAGAGCTTCATTCCGATTTTGTCACTAATTGGACCGTAGGCATCTAAGCCGTGGACTAGAACACAACTTCGACAGAAGGTAAGAATAGAAATATTAGCGTTAATGGGCTTCGTTTTATTGAACTTCTTACGTAATTGCTATAAGTGAAATCATTGACACATAAACATAGACGGTAGTATAATATTGAAATAAAATTAATGAACATAGATTATGAGATTACGGGCTGAATTCATCGGTCACAGTATATGGTGCAATGGCCACTTTTGTGAACACGTTAATGAGCATGTTTTAATTTAAAATTACTACATATCAAAGACTAGGAGAATAAACTATGGGATGAATTAATTTGGCCGGTCACGGTAGACGAGCGGTCTAAGGCATGCACTGTCTTCGCTCGCTCGGAAGCCGGGATCATGGATTCGAATCCCACTCAGGGCATGGATGTTTAGTTTGCGTTTAGTGTCCGTTCTCCTGTATCTGTGTACAGGTAGAGGCCTTGCGACGAGCTGATCACCCGCTCAAGGAGTCCTACCGTAGGCCTAGGCCCACTGGGGCTGTAGTGCCAAGGAAAAAAAATGAATTAATTTATCGTTGATGAAGGAATACTTCCGTATAACACGAATAGGTACACTGAGAGGAGTAAAACGAAATTCGGAGAGTGGTTAGCTTTCTTGAATTTTGGGGCGCATGTTCCGTTCCTTACGTCACTTTTGGTTACATTTCACAAAAAGTAGCAGGTCTCAGGTATAAAGTTCGGAAAAATATGCCCTTTTAAAAATAAACAAGCCGGTCACGGTAGCCGAGCGGTTTAAGTCATGTACTGTCTTCGCTCGCTTGGAAGCCGGGATCGTGGGTTCGAATCCCACTCAGGGCATGGATGCTTAGTTTGTGTGTGTGCGTTTTTATGTGTTTGTGTACAGGTAGAGGCCTTGCGACGAGCTGATCACCCGCCCAAGGAGTCCTACCGAATGTGTAAGATCTGGAAAAACCGAAGTGAACAGAGAAGTTCATGGAGGTAGGCCTAGGCCCACTGGGGCTGTAGTGCCAAGGAAAAAAAATAAAGAAGCTGATTTAAGTAAATACGAAATACTGGTCGATGCACTTTCAGTAATAGGCGTAATCGTTTATGAGGCCTTTAACATCTGATGTGACCAAGGATGACGCCATATGCAAATGTGTTTTATGTTTAAAACGCTTTGGTCAAGAGATGCTTAAGCTGAGGAAGGTTGAATTGGGCGAGGTCTGTACAGCCACAAACTAAGTCTGTACTTCTTATAATCATATACTACGATAAAAGTGAAATGTTTCTATTTTCAAGTGCAAATAATAAATTACGCGCTTTAACTATTAATTTTATCCACCATTTAGCGTGTCTTTGTAGGCTTCAAGAAAGCCTATGATTCAGTTAGGAGGGAAGTATTGTACAATATTCTAATAGAGTTTGGGGTACCCAAGAAACAAGTTAGGCTGATTAAAATGTGTTTAAACGAAACGTATAGTGAAGTCCGTGTACGTAAACATTTGTCTGATAAATTTCCTATCCAGAATGGTCTAAACAAGGAGATGCTTTATTGCCACTGCTTTTCAACTTTGCTTTAGAATATTTTCAAGGAGGTTGAGGTGGGTAGGGCATACGAGTATAGCACGAATGAGGGAGAAGATGAATGTATATAGGATATTGGTGGGAAAGACAGAAGAAAAGAACCACTGGGAAGACCTAGACGTAGGTGGGTGGACAATATTAAAATGGATCTTAGAGAGATAGGATGGGATGATATGGATTGGATTGATCTGGCTCAGAATAGGGATCAGTGGAGGGGTCTTGTGAACACGGTAATGAACCTTCGGGTTCCGTAAAATGCTTGGAAATTCTTAAGTAGCTGCAGAATTGGCGGCTCCTCCAGAAGAGCTCAGCTCCATGAGTGAGTACTTTAGCATGACTTCTTCAAGTAGAAGGATTTCTTCGCTGTGAAATTCGATGTATCGCACCGTCCTTGTATTTAGGCTCCGAAAACAAGTTTCTTGTCCCGGTGAGAGTGTTGCTATTGTATTGTGTAGCAGACATGTATATTTCTTGGTAGTACGTTACAACACCAGACGTCGGTGGTTGCATCACTTAAATTAGGATCAACCACTTATAGTACAAATTTATTACCGTTCATGCGATCATTTCACAATATCTTAGGGTATTCTGTAAGGACTAAATAGCACAGCACAGACGAATATTAACAATACCGTACAGGCTCGCACACTCAAGTTGGTTTTCAGATTCCACCAGCGGTGACGTAATGACGTGTGAACTACCGGACTACACGGGGTTACATGCTACTTCACGCGCGCTTTTAAGATCGTAATTCAATTTAACAAATTATTACCAAACAAAGGAAGGAAAAACAAAACGTTAAAGTCATTTTCATTTTAAGTTCTGATACGAAATAACCATATTTTAGTTGGAGCATCTCACTTTTCTGCCTAATCGCTCAGATTTCTGTGCATTTGATGCAGCAGTCCGAAAGAACTCTCATTCGAACGGAATAGAATGTTCTCCAGTGGGCCCTAAGCCATTCTGCCATCTTTTCTTTCCACGGCTGATTAAATTTCAGATGCAGTTTCATTAATACAAATTTTTCGCTTGTCTCGAATAGGAGATCAATTGACGCCTGAGCTTCAACACATGTTACAGTTGATGGTGGCCCAGAACACAACCCTTTCGTGTCTCATTGCCCATTCGTAAAATGTCTTGTGGCTTGTGGAGATATGGTCATATTTAACTGCCATTCTACGTTCCCACCTCATGACTCAAGTTACGAGGGTTCAAACCCGGCGGAGGTCGTGGAATTTTTAAGAACGGAAAAATTCAGGGAACAAGTCCTCCGGGAGGGACTTTAAACCGTGGTTCCCGTGTCGTAGATTTACGGCACGTAAAAGAACCTCATATCTCTAGGATACCTCTGAGCTAAATTGGGCAAATTTCCTGCCCAAGTAGTTTCCAATGCCTCCGGTAGATGGGGAAGCTTAGGTACCAATGCCAGAGGAAGGACGACCTCACTGACAGAAAGGGACTAACTATTAGATACCACTGCCAGTAGAAGGCCGAAACCTCGCTGGCAGAAAGGGAACGATAGCGAGCACCAGTACCGGTAGGGTATGGAGACAGTAGCAATTCAAAAGAGGACGCACAATAGATCAAACTGGTCGCGGTGCATGGGGTAACCCGCCCCCTCAATTCTGAATACTGAATACTGAACTGCCATTCTACCCTAAATATTGCTAGTTTTCACAGCCTCTGCTTAAAAGTATCGCATCAAAACTTTGTTTTCTTCCTAGCGCAATGTATCATTGTAGCAGCTGCAGGAAACGTGCCAAAGAATCACCAGTAAGTGCAAGTAGGAACGGTTCGTACAGTTTATGTCCAACTTCTTCAGTGCTGCTGTCGTCACTTTTGATGTCAACTAAAATCGTAATGATTATTTTACTTTTCTTTTGTAAAGAAAATATATTAGTAATGATGGAACGTAATTTACAGGCAAAATATTCCAGTCGGAAATATTGAGAATGATGGGACAGTATGTGTGAGAATTACTTGAATTGTCGTAAAATTTGGAAATGTGCTCACCGAATTTGTTAGGCGTACACAGACCTACCAGTGCGCTCTCTGTTGCTTGGAGATTTCATTTGTCTTGAGTTTTACGTAGGTCCAATGCAGACTCAAATAAAAAAAAAGTACTACAGAATTATTTGACTACACCGTCCAGTGTGACTCAATTATGTACATAAATATAAACATATATTTATATATATGATGACTTTATATGTTTCTGTCATTTAATAACCATCTTCAGAAGGCAAATAAGAGCATGCTGAGGAAGCTACTATTACATAAATCAAAGTACATCAAGTACAAACTTATCCAAAGTTTTATATATAAAGATTTGAATTAAGCTAAAATGTGGTGAGCTGAAATTTTAATAAAATTCTTATTATTTGAAATCTTAAACTGCTAAGGTTCGTGTCTTCACGTCTTTTCTATCAAGGGGAGATTTGGTAGACTGCCTCCCTTGGAGCTCCGGGCAGATTTTTCTTCTTTATATAGTTGGTTAACAGTCTGTCTGTTGTTGAGCTGCTTCTCCACTCGTTTGTTAAACTTATAAAAAACGTAATTTGACTATATGTACAAATATATATATAAAATATTTACCACATTGGAAAATATCTGAAATGAAAATTATATTGTTAGGGGAGGGTAAGGAGTTTATTCTGTCTCTTTAACGTACTTTATAAGAGTTTTTAAAATGGGTAATTTAAGCTTAATATAAAGAGAACACTTTATATTCAACCAGTATGAATTAAAATTTAAATTCATCTGCACAAAATTTCACCAAAATGAGCAGAACATTTTCCTGGGTGGAATATGTGGATGGATGAACCGACGGACATGACCTCCCTCCACACGTTCACTTTATTCACTTTGTGCAAATGCCGTAACCTATAAAATTATATGTTAATATTTTATATAAATGCGGTTACATCTACAGTGTTATGTTCTCTGCATGTTCTTAATCTCTTGTCGATATAAGAATGAAATACGGCTCTGTCGGCACCGCTCCAGAGCCCAGTGCCTGCCTGATTTCGTTAGGTGAAAGTTTGCACAGCCGCCCGAGACAACAATAATTCTCTATTCCTTTCCAGGCGACGACACAGTTACAAAAAGAGAAAAGAAAGTGGTTGAAGCATGCGCACAACGTGCTGCAGATTTGTGAATTCTGAGAGCAACTGGGTCCTATTGAAACTTCGTAGAACAGCATAAGGAACGGGAAGGACAGGGCATACCAAAATTAAGTGCCAAATAATTCATTCACTTCCCAGAAGATTCAATCTCTGAGGATGTAATTCTCCTACCGTCTTTCACACGCAGTTACCACTCACCCTGTTCTACGCCGTCAGTATGTTTAACGCACTGTGCAAATGTTACAAGTTTACATGTATAACTTAAATATGTAACGCTAAAATGTTATCTTCCGCGCGGTGTAAGGCATGAACTCTCTTCGCTCACTCGAACACTGGGACGTGGGTGGCAT